CTTTTCCCAGGCCACGTGCGCGCTGCATGAGCTCATGTCTGCTCCGGAGGCGGGGGCCGCCGTGCTGGGGCTGTACCCGGCGCTCTTCGCCACCCTCCTGCTGCGCCTCAGCTGCTCCCTGGGGGTGCAGCTCCCCAAAAACCTGCAGGGCAGGGACAGGAGGAGCCTCCAGCCCGCCAGGTAACGGGGGAAGGGAGGGAGGGGACACACCTGGCCCCACCTGCCGCGGGGGTGGGGGCAGTCACCTCTGGAATTGGGGGTTGGGTGGAAAACCAGCCCGGGCGGGGATGGAACTGCTGGAGGAACTGGTTTTTGGGTATGGATGGAACTGGAGGAACTGGGTTTAGGTGGGGATGGAACTGGAGGAACTGGGTTTTAGATGGGGATGGAACTGGAGGGACTGGTTTTTAGGTGGGGATGGAACTGGAGGAACTGGTTTTTGGGTGTGGATATAACTGGAGGAACTGGTTTTTGGGTGTGCAGAACCAGCCTGTACTGGGATGGAACTGGAGGAACTGGTTTTTGGGTGTGCAGAACCAGCCTGTGCCAGGATGTAACTGGAGGAACTGGTTTTTAGGTGGGGATGGAACTGGAGGGACTGGTTTTTAGGTGTGGATATAACTGGAGGGACTGGTTTTTGGGTGTGCAGAACCAGCCTGTACTGGGATGGAACCAAAGGAACTGGTTTTTAGGTGGGGATGGAACTGGAGGGACTGGTTTTTAGGTGGGGATGGAACTGGAGGGACTGGTTTTTAGGTGGGGATGGAACTGGAGGGACTGGTTTTTAGGTGGGGATGGAACTGGAGGGACTGGTTTTTGGGTGTGCAAAACCAGCCTGTGCTGGGATGGAACTGGAGGAACTGGTTTTTAGGTGTAGATATAACTGGAGGAACTGGTTTTTGGGTGTGCAGAACCAGCCTGTACTGGGATGGAACTGGAGGAACTGGGTTTTGGGTGTGCAAGAACCAGGCTGTGCTGGGATGGAACTGGAGGAACTGGTTTTTAGGTGGGGATGGAACTGGAAGAACTGGTTTTTGGGTGTGCAGAACCTGCCTGTGCTGGGATGGAACTGGAGGAACTGGTTTTTGGGTGTGCAGAACCAGCCTGTGCTGGGCTGGAACTGGAGGAACTGGTTTCTGGGTGTGGATGGAACCAAAGGAACTGGTTTTTAGGTGTGCAGAACCAGGCTGTGCTGGGATGGGACTGGAGGAACTGGTTTTTGGGTGTGCAGAACCAGGCTGTGCTGGGCTGGAACTGGAGGAACTGGTTTTTGGGTGTGCAGAACCAGCCTGTACTGGGATGGAACTGGAGGAACTGGGTTTTGGGTGTGGATGGAACTGGAGGAACTGGGTTTTGGGTGTGCAGAACCAGGCTGTGCTGGGCTGGAACTGGAGGAAGAACAGGCTGGGATGGAATGGGATGATGGTCTGCCCATGAGGTTTGGGATGGGGAGGGGGTAGTTTGGGAGGGGTTGGGGTTTTTCAGCTGCAGGACACGAGGGTTAAACTGGGAAGAGTTAAACTGGGGATCTGGACAGAAGCAGGGCAGAGCACACAGGATCCCAAAAGAAGGGAGAGTTGAAGGTGGGGATTCCAGGGAAGCTGTGGCTGCCCCTGGATCCCTGGCAGTGTCCCAGGCCAGGCTGGATCCCCCTGGGATGGTGGGAGCTGTCCCTGCCAGTGGAAGGGGGTTGGAATGAGATGATCTTTAAGTCTCTTCCCACCCAAACCTCTCCAGGATTCCGTGCCTGTTACAGGCACCAGATTGGCCTGGGCAGACGGTGGCTGAGTCCTCCTGCCTGAGGTTCTCCTTAATTAGTAATTAATTCCTTCAACCTCCTGATGCTTGAAGTGCCCTGAGGACTCTCTGCCAGCCTTGGGAGCTGAGCTGGGCCCTTTCCTGGCCCTGCTTTCCCCTTTGCCATCATTAACAGAGGGAACTCCAGCAGGAACCCGCTGGCCCCTCCCTGGGCTCCTTGGGTGGGCTTTTCAGGGAATGGTGGAGGCTTTTCCGTGGGGAATCCGGCCCAGACCTCTGGTTCTGTGCACGATCCAGGGCTGTGCCGAGCAGGAAGGCCAGCCTGGCTGGTTGTGCTCGTGTCCTTCCCTGCTCCCCGTGCCTCTCCCGGGGGCAGCTGCTCAGCTTTGGCCCTTACGGATCATGGAATCTCTGAGGCTGGAAAACCTCGGAGATCCTTGACTCCAGTTAAGCCAAGGATGCCCCAGCTGTCAGGGAGGGTCTCTGGGTGCTCAGGGGGGTTCTGTGGGTGCAGGGTTGGTTTTCCACCGTCCATCCCAGACTGGGACTGTCCAGCAGTGTCCTGGGTGTCCTTCCTGAGGGCAATCCGGGCTCTCCGTGGCTCCTGGGATACCCCACCCTCCTGGGGCTCCACAGCAGGGACAGCCCCCCCATCCCCACCAATCCCTCATCCCAGGGGGAAGCCAGACTATCAGGAACTCATTCCCACAGCCCTGACAGCCCCGAGCCCCTCGCTGCCTGAACTGAGCCCAACTGAGCCAAACTGAGCCAAACTGGGCCAAACTGAGCCCAACTGAGCTGGACAGAGCCCAGCTGAGCCAAACTGAGCCCAAATTGAGCCAGGCTGAGCCAAACTGAGCCCAGCTGAGCCAAACAGCCCAAACTGAGCCCAGCTGGAGCTGAGCCCAAGCCGTGCTGCCCTCCCCTCCGCAGCTGTGCCGTGGAGACGCTGAAGGTGATGCTGCTGCGGGGTGGCAGCGAGGAAGTGGTCCGGGACGTGGGCGATTCCGGGGGCTGGGAGCTCCTGGCCAGCCCCGAGCGGCACCACGACGGCGTCGCCCTGCTCGCCAGGTAAGGCCTGGCACCATCCCCTCCCCTGTCTGAGCAGCCTGGGGGCCCTTCTGTGGCAGGGGGTGGCACTGGGTGGGCTCTGAGGGTCCCTCCCCACCCAGACCGGGCTGGCATTCCAAGATTTTTAGGATTTATTGCCCGGCATGGGGGGAGCAATTTCAGGTCGGGCTTGCTGGAAGCAGCCACAGGGAGCCCATGGCGGGGGGAGGTCGGTCCCTGGTCCCACTGGGGGGTCCCTGGTCCCACTGGGGGGTCCGTGGTGTCCCTGGTCCCACTGGGGGGTCCCTGGTCCCACTGGGGGGTCCGTGGTGTCCCTGGTCCCACTGGGGGTCCCTGGTCCCACTGGGGGGTCCCTGGTGTCATCAGCCCCTCCGTGGGGTGCCCGGTGTCCTCACTCCCGTTATGGGGTCCCTGGGTGTCCCAGCCCATCCCGTCATTCCCAGGGGATGCCCGGCTGGCACCTGCCCGTGTTCCCTGTGGGGTGGGGGGTGACAGGACCCCCATCCCGGTTCATCCGGGGTCTCCCCGGTCCCTCCCAGCGCCAGGAATAGCTCTTGGATCCCGCGGAGCCAGGCGGGCGGTTTGGGATTTTCCAGCATTTACAAAAAAAAAAACCAAAACCCCCACACTTTTATTAAACCTCCCAGACACTCCTCCAAAACAAAACCCACCCCTGCGGCTGCCAGGGCCGTCCAGGGCCCTCCAAACCCTGCCCTGGTGGCAGGAGGGGACAGTGCCAGGGTGGTGCCACTGGTGTTTCCATGCTGGGGCTGGAGGGGACAGTTTCCATCCTGGTGGCAGGAGGTGACAGTGCCACTGGTGTTTCCATGCTGGGGTGTCCTCTCTGGTGGCAGGAGGTGACAGTGCCAGGGTGGTGCCACTGGTGTTTCCATGCTGGGGTGTCCTCTCTGGTGGCAGGAGGTGACAATGCCAGTGCCACTGTCTCTGCCGAGCTGGGGGCTGTCCCCCCCCAGCAGCCCGTGGTCCCGGGGGCTCCCCCAGCCCCCCCAGCCCCCCGTGGGATGGCAGTGCCGTCCGTGGGGGTGGGGATGGAGTGCCAGGTGCCGCTCCCTCGGCAGGGCCATGGCTCGCCACGCGGGGCCGCGGCTGCCCCTGGTGGTGAAGAACCTGACGCCGGCCCTGAGCAGCGCCTTCGACAGCCAGAGGGTCACGGCCACCGCCTTCTTCGCAGAGGTGAGCGCTGGGCTCATCCTGGATCCATCCCAGATCCGTCCCGGGTCCATCCTGGATCCATCCCAGATCCATCCCAGATCCATCCCGGGTCCATCCCTGATCCATCCCGGGTCCATCCCGGGTCCATCCCGGATCCATCCCAGATCCATCCCAGATCCATCCCAGATCCATCCCGGGTCCATCCCTGATCCATCCCAGATCCATCCCGGGTCCATCCCTGATCCATCCCGGGTCCATCCCAGGTCCATCCCAGCTCCATCCCAGCTCCATCCCAGCTCCATCCCAGATCCATCCCGGATCCATCCCGGGTCCATCCCAGATCCATCCCGGGTCCATCCCGGATCCATCCCGGCTCCATCCCAGCTCCATCCCTGGTTGGGGGCGGTGCAGGTGGAGCAGCCCCAGCCCCTCCGCTCCTCCCGTCCCTCTGCTCGGCTCTCCCCGCTCCGATCACGTCCCAACCGGGCCAGCCCCCCCCTTTTCCCCCCATCCCCATCCCCGTGCCTTACGTAGCACCCCAGGAATGGGATGACTCAAGTCCTTTCCCCGGCTCCCGCATCCAGGAGAGCGAAACCCAACTCCCGGCGCCGCCGGAGCGGCTCCGGTTACACAGAGCCGGCCCCCCCTCCCGGCCCGTGCCAGGGGGCTCCAGGAACCACCGCGGCAATTCCCGGCTGCTCCAGCAGCTCCCGGCCCTGCTGGAGCCTGGCCCGGGCTCCACCGCGGCTCTTGGAGCGCTGGATGGGTCCGGGAGGGGGGAAAAGAGCGGCTCTGCCTCGGCCAGAGCCGAGGGGAGGAGGAGGAGGAAGGACTGGGAGAGGCTCCAGTGATCCACAGGGATGAGGGGACAGCACAGGGCTCTCCATCCACAGGGATGAGGGTTCAGCTCAGGGCTCTCCATCCACAGGGATGAGGGGACAGCTCAGGGCTCTCAATCTGTAGGGAAGTGTCATCATCCACCTTGTCACACCTGCCAGGTGACCTTAGGGCGAGGTTTTGGCCTCCATAGGGTTTTCCTGGGTTTTTCCCGGCTCTCAGTGCTCTCCCAGGCTTCCCCTTCTTCCCAGTTGGATTTCCAGCCTCCCAAAGCTTTCCCACACGATGGATTACTGCAGGCTCCCCCCATCCCAGCACCTGCCTGGGGGTGCTGGGGCTGAGGCTCCCCAGCCTTTTCCCTCTGGATGATCCAGGTGTGGAGTGAGGGAATGAGGGGATCGGGGGGGACAAACCGAGGCTCTTCCCGGGAATAACATCCCCCCCAGGCCCATCCCTGACGGATCAGGGGCTGAGAGGGATTTTCTGCTTCAGCTCCTCAGCAGCAGCGTGGTGAAGGACCTGCTCGTGCTGGAGACGGTGCTGGACGCGATGACGGGGCGCCAGAAGGATTCCTGCCTCCTGGTCCGCGTGCTGGCGCTGCGGGGGCTCGGGAATATCGCCTCTGGATCCCCGGAGAAGGTGGGAGCAGCTCCCCTGCTCCGGGCTCTGGAGGGACAGGACACAGGGGATGATTGCCCACTGCCTGAGGGCAGGGCTGGGTGGGGAGGGCAGGGCTGGATGGGGTGGGATGGGAAGGATTCCTCTCTTGGAGGGCAGGGAGGGACTAGAATGGAATTCCCAGAGGATGCTCCGTCCCCCCTGGAAGCGTCCAAGGCCAGGTTGGAGCAGACTGGGATGGCAGGAGGTGTGTCCCTGCCCACGGCACGGGTGGGGCTGGGTGATCCTAAAGGTTCCTTCAGCCCAAACTGGGGGGTGATTCCACGATGCAGCAGCGTCACGCGTGGGCCAGACCCCCGAGCCCACCGCTCGTTCCTGCCGCCCACCAGGCCCCAGGTCATGGAATCACGGAGTTACTGAGGCTGGAGTAGAACTTTAGGACCACTGAATTCATCCAGCCCTGCCCAGGCCGTGTCCCCAAGGGGTGGCCAATGATCCCCCCCAGGGATGGGGATCCAGGGCTGGGCAGCCCCTTCCCAGCAGGGATTTATATCCCAAATATCCCAAATAAAGCTCCCCTGGCACAGCTTGGGGCTGTTCCCCTCGTCCTGTCCCTGTTCCCTGGGAGCAGAGCCCCATCCCACCTGGATCCACCCTCCTGCCCCCCTGGAATTGCCCGTTTCCCCCAGGCTGAGCCCCCCCAGCCCCCTCAGGCTGGTCCCTGTCCCCAGGTCAGGAAGCACGGCCCCACCCTCCTGGCCTCCATGGTCAGTGGCATGGACGACAAGGACGACCCCCACAACCTGGTGGCCCTGGAGGCCATGTCCAGCCTGTCCAAGCTGCTGGACCACCTGGAGGAGAGGGACATCCAGTCCATGCTGCTCCACATCGCCATCCGCATCCGCCCCTTCTTCGACAGCGTAAGGGGCA